CATATTCTATCTATCTATCTAATTTAATCTAATCCAAGGAGTAAAGTATGTAGTAATGATGATATTATTAGATATAAAATTAAAAATAATAAAAATGAAATAATAAAAAAGAAAAAATGAAAAGTAATGAGGAACAGATATGATTAATGTATTGGATTATTTTAATAACATGATGAAATGTATTGTGGAGGAGTAGATATTTTTAAAATGATGAAATTACCTTTATGTACTTAGAAGCTAGATTCATAGAGGGTAATATGGGCATTTCAAATTGTTCAAGAAACTAACTCACTCTTTTAAGGGAGTTATAGATCTGAGTTTAGAACATAAACCAAAAAAACTGCTACTACATCATATTATATTATAGGAAAATGCTACGGTCCCGTTATGGAACAATTCCGTCTGGGTGATGTATCGTTAGATCATCATATAACCGTCAGGGATAATTGATCTAACGGTTGCAAACCCCAACGAAATGGTTCTGTAACCGGATCGTAGCATCTCCCTATATTATGGTATATAATATTATATATTATGTGGTAGAAAGAGACAAGAGGTCCCACTTGTTGAGAAGGTATGCAGCACCGATCCATTGGTGAGACCTACCTGTTTATGGTGCATATATTTGGGTGTGGCGCGTCTCCGGGTAAAGTTATGTATTTGTCTGTTCAAAGTTTTGTTTGCATGCATATATGTGAGTGGATAATGTTGAAATTAAATTTACGGTGATGTGTGAGATTAATTGACTGATATTTTTTAATTATATTGATAATATTAGAAAAAGTTAAGTTGAATTAATTTTGAGTTGAACTTTGGATTAAAAGTTGTAAAAAAAAATAAAAAATTATCGGCGAGAAATAATCGGTTATTAATGCATATATATAATCGCACCATTTCATATGAATTTTCAACTCTCTTTTAAATTCCTGGTGCATGTTCAATCGCTTCACGGAATGGGAGAGTTAATTTTGGCCTTAATAATAAATTATGTGATCATTAATCGATAATTTAATTAGGGGTGACTAAAATTTTGCCATGCATTGAGGAAATTGATGGTAAAATTTTAATTTGAGATAGATTGTAAATTCTTCATGCCCTTAAATTATCATAACCAAATTTTGTGCAAATAATTAAGTATTCTCGATTAATAAAAAGAATAATCTCACATAAGCTTCAGTTCTTATGTCTCTGAGCTCTCTGCATAACATTACTATTTAATATGGGCAAAAGCATCACATTTCTTATATAGCTAATTATGTATTTGAATGCTAATTAAGATAGTTTTAAGTTATTAGAAACTAGCTAAAGACGATATAATAATTATTTTTAATTAGTTTTATTCATTTTTATATTATTTTTAATATGTACATATGGTTAGAAAGTAGTAGCACCTACCCAAGAGCGCTTGGATGAGATGGCTTGGGCCTTTTCCAGCTTAACCAGTGGTCTCGTGTTCGAGCCCTGGGAATGTAGCAGTGTTAAAACTCTTGAGCAAGAGCTTTGCCGCCCTTGTGGTCCTACCCGGCTCGATTCTGAATTAGTCGGTTCCCATGTGGAATCGGAAACCGGAAGGTCCCTGTA